CGAAAGCCAAGCCGTTCCTCTCTGCCTCCATCCAAGACGAAGCCAAAGTGAAAAGCAGTGTAAGCCAAAAGGTTATATCCAAGCCAGTGGAGAGAGGGGAAGCCAAGGAGAGGACCTCAGCCCCCATCTCTAGTCCGGACATCTCCAGGGAAGCTCTCTATGTGGCAGTGGCAGATTTTGAAGGCGACGAGGAGACCAACAGCTTTAAAGAAGGGACTTTGTTTGAAGTTCGTGAGAAGAACAGCAGTGGCTGGTGGTTTTGCAAGGTCCTTACTGGGGGGCCATGCTGGGAGGGCTGGATCCCTTCCAATTACCTGCGTAAGAAGCCATAGCCGCTCGTCTGCTTGCACGGCTGGAGGCTCCCTGGTGTCTCACCTGAATATTTAATTAGCAGATTAATTTATAGTTTTCCGTGAGGCTGGCTTTAAAAAAAAAAAGATAGTAATTGAGATCCCACGCATCCCAGCTGGCGCCTGTTGGCAGCAGCATGGAGGAAGCAGCTTGGCCTCCCCTCTCCACTCGTGTGCTCCCACCCGCCCTCCTCCCCATGTCCCCCCGAGCACTTCGCTCCTGTGGCTGTGCCGGCAGCCTAGCTGTGCAGCCGGGGCTGCTCTGGCCAAGCTTTGTGGCATATGATGGCTGTCATGGTTCTGCGTGCTGGGAGATGGACCTTGATAGACGTTTTTGCCACCTGTATGGCGAATCAAAAAGAAATATGGCAGTAGCCAGGGAGAGAGGTGAAGCGTGGGATTGTGCCAACAAAGAAAAACTTCAGGGTCACAGACGGATGTTGTAGGTCACGTTGCTTAGTCCAGGTGTGTAGCAGAGCCATAGGGAGCATGGCATAAAGGAGGAATGGTTGCTGAGAACAGGGTCCCTGTGGCTCTGCCTGCATGTGCAGGCACAGGCATTGCACTCCAGTTAAGGGTAGTGCCTCGCTGCCCTCCCCATGCATGCCACGGGACTGTCCCTTGGTCCCTCTCTGCTCTACAACGACAAGTGTTAACTTCAACATCCTCCTGGTGGAAAAAAAAAAAACAAAAAAACAGAAAAACACACACACGCACACACTCTGTGCTGGTCCAGGATGCTATGCAGGCTTCTCCCATGCAGTATTGCAACCAAACAACAAGAGGTGTTTTGCTTCGGTAGCTGAAGAATACTATGCAAGGCACAGAGGACCAAAATGACCCCAAAAGCCCTGGAAAAGAGGATGCTTTGCTTTCCTTCCCACACAGACTGCCCTGCCTGTTGGACTAATAGGGGACCACCCGTTCCCACAACCCACAGAGCTTCCCTGGGCTGGCGGGCAGCAGCCAGGACGTGGGTCCTTCAGTAGGTGCTGATATTATCAAGTGCAATCCAGAATGTGGGAGTTCAGCTCCTCATCACGACCAGTTGCAAGGCGTGTCTGGTGCTCAGGGGCTCCCTGCCTTGTTTGTCACCCCGTCTGCCTGTCTTCCAGGTACTTGCATTTCATCCTGTGTGGCGGGCTGTTTGGGGGGCTTCAGGTCAAGCAGAGCCTGGGGTTTTCCGTGCTGACATTCCTGCCTAATCTTGCCTGCAGTGTTGCTTATCCCAGCGGGAGGATGAGCGCGGATGAGCTGTCATTCCCCAGTGCTGCTTTCTGCCCTTCTGTACTTGGCTACTTGCAGATTCAGGGCCACATTTCTATCTCCAGAAGAGCTTTAAACCTGGTGCTTCTGTGGATTTCTTGTTGACCAAACCCTCTTGCCCTTTCTAGCCTAATTGCAAGTGCAAGTGCTGCAGCCGCAGCCCTGCAGCCACATGGTTTTGCTGCTGAAAACAATTCTAGTTTTCCTTCTAATTTGAGGCTGGCAGGGTTCTCCACTCCCCGAAACACTTGCCTCCATCTCTGTCCCGTATTTTCTGCCCTGGAAATGTGGAGTTGAAGATATCTCTGTCTGCACACAGAATTAAAATGGTGGTGCCTCAGGCCAGGGTCATTCTGGGAGGGTGATGGGGCGGTTTGTCCCAGTCCTGGTTTGATCTGATAAAGAAGCCCCGACCATCCCAGTCCAGCCTCATATCCAGAAGCCCCAAGGTTCTTTTTTAGCTGTGGGAATGCATGCACCCCTGTCTCCATCTGATTCCTCTCCCTTCCACCTACCTTTTTTTCTGGTGGCACATCAGTCCCTAATCAGGCTGACTCACCTGAGCTGGCAGTAAGCAATATATCTGCAACCCAATCCAATAACAAAGTTCCTTGCGTGGCGCATTGCGAGGTGTTGATGTGCTCCCGGGAGAGTTGCAGGGTGGGTTGGAACAATGCTGCCTTGTCTCTGCGCATCTCCTGCTCCAGTAAATCCCTTTTGCTTTGGAAAGGAATGGGAACAGGATGAGTTAAGCCAGAGTTGCCCAGTGGCCAAATCCAGCCCCCACTGTATCTAAGAAGGGGGCTAGACTTGTGTCCCCCGTCTGCTCTGGCAGTTTCTTGCAGGGGCTGGAAGGACTGTGTGCCCTTTCCCTGTGGCACTGTGTCCTTGCTCTCTCTTTGCCAAATGGCCTTTTAATCTCAGAAGTGTCTCTCTTTTCTCTGTCTCGGAGACCTCACTGCCCCCACCTTTCCTCAGAGGGGACAATGCTATTTCTGTGGCCTCCTTACTAAATGAGGGCTATTTCTGCTTTCCTCCCAGACTAAACCTCAGAACTGGTAGTGCTTCATTTTGCTGACACAAGTACTGTATTTGGCTCATTGAGCGTGTGACGGGCTTGCTCCCTTGTTCCCAAAGAGCTTCCAGGAAGGCAGGGTGAGTGCCTAGTTGGGGGGTCACCCTCAGTAGGATGCCACCATCTGCAGCCTTACCCCTTCCTACCACTCTTCATCTGCGAAGGGACCACAGGCTGTTGGGAAGATGCCGAGAGCCGTTGGGCTGGCAGAGCTTTGCCCCCCTCACCCAATATGTGCCCCCTGGTTCATTTTTTTTTCACGTGTGCCCTCTGCCAGGCTGTGCCTCTTCTCTACCTTGCATGTCAGATGCGGCCAAAGTCCCCGACTACCTCCTGAGGATGAGGAGGGTGGCTGGGAGGCTCGGTACTCAGCTTGGCCACAAGGCGCATCACCCCCTCAGCCAAAGACCCACCTCCCTCCGTGCCCACCACCAGTGCAGCCCCGAGGCCAGGGCTTGTGGCAAGGCGGGGCATCACAGTGGCTTGGGACAGAAGAGCCGGCTGTCAGGGAGGTCCTGTGGCTTGGCACACCCCTGGCAGGCTGGAGGCCCCCGCTGCACCCCCCCCTCTTCTCGCAGGCTCTCAAAGCCCGTTCCTTTGTCCGTGTCTTGGTGTATTATGTAAGCGCATATAAATCTGCATTTCTGCGGGCGGGTGGGGGGTCAGCGGAAGATAGATGTAGCTGTGTAAATGCCGTATCTATACTTTCATCATTAGGGGATTGATTTATTTTATTGCGGGGTGGTGGGGTGGGTGGGTTTGGGTTTTTTTCTTTTTTGTTTTGGGTTTTTTTTTAAGAAATAAAAAGAAACTGCTTGACTGGTTTCAAGCACCCTTATGAACCTGTGTCTCACTGGTGCATATCTGAGGTGCTGCACAGCGGGTGTCTTGGGAGGTGTGCCGCTCTCCTGCCTGGAGCAATGGCAGCTCCTCATGCTGTGTTGGAGCTATCCCCAGGTGAAGTATGTCTTTGTCCTTGGGTGTTTTTGTCTGTCAGGAGAAGAAGGGCGTGGTGCTGTATTGCCTGGCTTCATGGGGGCTTGCAGCAAGGGCTTCTGGCTGCAACATCCTTTGCAACGAGGCTGGGGCAGGTCACGATGCTTGGACTTTTGACTTATGGTTCCTGGCCGTGAAGAGCCCAGCTCCTCCATTGCTGCTGCGCCCCAGCTCACCTCATGGGTATTCTGTGCTGGAGGCACTGCAGGAGCAGTGGTCGGGTGTGGGTATGTGTGTAGTGGCTGCACGCTGCTCTGGCACGGGGGGATGTTTTCCCTGTACAGCTGTGGCTGGTGGAGCTGCTGCTGTGTTGATGCTCCCCATGTGGGGTTTTAGCCTGGTCCTCAATTTGGACCATGTGTACCCCAGTGCTCATGAGAAGGAGAAATGCCATTGCTAGGTTAAACAGTGTTCAGTAAAGCTGTGCTTTTTCTTCCCATCCCTCTGACCCAGTAGACAGAGGAGTGTTGCACAGCTGACCCTCCCAGCCCTGCATCAGTGGGATGTGCCATCCGTCCATCTACCCAGACAGCCTTGGCTGTGCTCACCCCCCCCCACACACACACAGCAGTGCTTGTGAGTGGTGAGGGTCACAGGGACCCCAACAGCTACTTGGGTCTCACCTTTGTGCCCTTTGTGTTACTTTGAGCTCAAGCCAGTAGGCTGAGCCTGCTGATTTTGGGGATGTGCAGAGAGAGAGATTCTGCCTGTCCTGGGGGGCTCTTGGGGGTTCAGGCTGGCCATGGAATGGGGCTGCATTAATTGAAAAGGCTCAGGCAAAAGTAGGGATTGGATCCCAGAGCCCAAGTTCCTTCTGGCAGAGGGCTGTGGTATTGCACACATGCAGTGCTTGGTGAGGGGTAGGCAAGAAGGGGAGGGAAAAAAGACATGCAAGAGCATCTTTCCCTGCTCCTGGCTCACTGCCTGCCAGCCAGGGACATGCAAGCCCCCAGTTTTCAGGTGACCGTAACCCACCTAGCCCACACAGGGCTGCAAGGACCATATGCAAGGCTGTGCAGGCAGCAGCCCCATGTTAGCCACGTTGCACGTAGCATCGGGACCTGTCTTGCTTCCCCCCGACACCGGTGTTCACTCGCCTGCCTGCAGCATATGCCCCATGCCAGGAGCAAGCGCCACCCAGCAGCAGGTGAGTGTGCCAGGGAGAGACTTGGGGCCTGTGACATAACCTGGCGTATTGCATGGCCATGCAGGGACTGTCCCGTGGCGGTGCCACGCCATATCCCCATGGGCATGCTGCTCCTGGCGCTGAGCCATGCCGGCTGCCGCCCGGCTCGCCAGTGCTTGTGTGGCTGCATGGCGAGCGGAGCTGGCAGAGCACTAACGAGTTGGGCTTTGGCCATGGGAGGCTCAGTTCTCGTGGCGCCCAGGCTGGCAGAGGGGAGGATCAGCAGGGGTGTGTGTGGGGTGTGTGTGTGTGTGTGTGTCTGTGTCTGTGTGTGCGCACGCTAATTAACATTTTAGTTAAGTGTATAAAGCCGGAGGTTTGGCTTCTTCACTTCCTTGGCTGACACCTTGTGTCCACATTCGCAGGTGATGGGAGTTGGCAGTGGTTCTCTGTGCTCTCCCCGGGGCTCGGGCCGGTAGCGGCTGGAGCAGGTCATCACACGAATGCTGAGTGTGGTGC